ATATTAATTTTTGGAAAAGAAAGGTTTTGGCTTTCTACTTCTCCATCTTCATACAAAAAAGTGGAAATCTTTTAAAGGAAGGAAAAAAGCAATTATCTTCAAATAATATCCATATAAAGATGTGTACCTAGTACCTAGTTCAAAAAGTAACTTTGAGACATAAAGTGGAGAAAAACCTCTTGAAATAACTACTTAAATCAAATAAGAACACTGTCTTCGATGATGAGAGTCGATTCAACTCATTCGTGACATAAAGTCGTGATTGAATGAATGTGCTCCATCTTGTAAGGTTATCCAGATTGGTGCTGAAGAGTCAATAAGGCAGGTGTCGTATTCCGAAACATCGGATGTCAAACATTGAGGATGATAGTGTTTCATGTAAGTAATATTTCACCTCTTTCATATTGAGAAGGAATTCAGTGATATCTGATTCAATCCGAAACATCGAATGTTGGACATTGAGGATGACAGTGTTCAATGTAAGTGTAGCTACCCTGTGAATTATGTCTGAGTCAATTCCATAATGAATGTTTGGAGTACAAACTGATTAGAAAAGGGTTTTTCGTATAATTCGATTTTCATAAAAAAATTGTTTCGTAAGTATTCTTTCTCTAGTGTGATCCAACGTAGTTGGATCCAAGTAGTTGTTTCGGGAGGGCTTTTTGTTCCAGTTTATGTTTGAAAATTACTTTTTTGCATGAACTTCACATCTTTGTACATCTTTCTTCCTTTTTTTGAAAGATTCCCATATTCTTGTATAAAGATGGAGAGATAGGAAACCAAAACCTCTATTAACTATTATTCTGTGAAATCAACGATAATTCATATCATCATCTTGAAGAATTCACAACAATGTAATTTACTGTAAAATCTACTGCAGAAGAAATGACATCTGAGGTTATTTTGTAAACACTACTCTGAATGAAATCAAGTGATTTGCATGAAAATCATGAACGTGGAGTTGCTATACTAATCTTAGATTGTAGAGATTTAGTTCGACAATTTAGTTTATGCTAGATGTTTTGAAGTGTATCTGTCGAGAGATGTCGTTTCTCTTCAGTATCAACAACGCTGACTGCCATGGTCAATAGCTTTTTGTTCTGGGTGAGTTATGTTATATGTATTCAAAGTCCCGTCAGCCATATAACGTAGCAGAATCAATACATCTCCTTCAACTGAATACAGTTTAACGAAAATAAATATTTTTTCAAAGGATATTCAGTTTTTGAGTATTTTTGAATTTTCCGATAGAAAAAATTTTCTTATAGGTATTTCTTCATCGATAGGCAAACACATAAAAATTAAAAAAAAAACTATTCTGTTACAGCGATCAGTTGAAATGGGTAAAAAATGCGTAAAGCTGCAGATAATTTAAAAAAAAGTATATACATAAAGACAGGTTGCGAATCTAATGATCAGTAGAATTTTTGAACAGTTTGAATACACAGAATGATTAGCAAATACTCATAATACCGTAGCGTATGCACAGAATGAGAAATACTATACGGATGTAACGTCAGAGGAAAAATGGATTTGTATGAAGCTACAGGAATGATTGAAAGGCCTCCCTGTGTTCAATGAACAACAAAATATAAAACTTTATATATCGCACCCAGCTAACTACAAAGAAGTAGCAAAATAATGTATTCATGCAGAAAAATAGAATCGCGATTATTCTGTCGGAAATGGTGAATGCGCAGTTATTTCCGCCAGGGTAAAACTAACTCACGCGGATAGAAGTTTTAGTTACAAAAGTTGCACAGATGACAATAAAAAAGCGAAGTATCCTAATTAATAATAGTAGTTGTTGAATCTAATATGTTCTGTGAGCATAGCCCATCGAATAAAAAAGGTACAGTCATGAGCAGAATTTCTTATTTTGTAGTTTTTCGCAGAAAAGCTATAGTGAATTTTTTGGTATGATTTTGATATAACTTTGGAGTGAACAAAATCACCTCAATCCAACCACCCCTCTATTTCATATCGTTTACAAGATTCTTTACAGAGACTTGAATTTAAATAAACCCGTATATGAGAGGATCCTGCACAAAATATAAAAAAACATACAGTCATTTGAGTCGAAATCATTTTAAATGTATTTTTTTAGAATACTGAAAAAAGTTCTTATGTGCGATATGTCCCATATGTCCCTATATTTGGATATACGATATTCTGATATTCACAATATGGCTATACATGTGTTTGAAGATTTTTAGCTTTATGGGGGCTGTGATAATAAGTGTACAGTTATTGTAGGTATATTGATTCAAAATAGTTCTTATAGAAATCTTCTTTGATCTGTATCCAATATTCTCAAGGTCATTTGAGAATATTAAAATTTTACAGTTCATTACAATTTGTTTTATGAAATCACGGTTTTGTCATAATTTGACTCATAAGTTGTAACAATAAATTAGGTCATTATTTTATGTGGAATCTATAGATCCAAGACGAACACTTTTCCCAAACACCAGAACTACATCACTCTTCTCGATGCACGTTTCAACAAATCAGTTGGCGTCTTCAGGAGATGGATAAAACTGATTTCTGACTGTAAACTCTTTAACAGAGTACTAACTTTCCGATATACATCAATGATTTCGGCAGAAATTTGCGAAAAATTTTCTCCTGTGAGTTTCCGCAAATTTTGATTGAGGACGATACACATCAATGATTTCGGGTGGAAAATTGTGGAAAAATTTCTCATGAGAGTTTCTGCTAATTTTACGCAGGTTATTCTTAAAAACGTATACAATGGGTTGTTTGAAATGGAACCTTTGTCACTGTCCATGTCCATAGTTCTCATGATACACATGCAACACTAGATTTTTTCTGGTCTTCAGAATCGGATATGTGCTGCGTGGTCTTTGAAAAGAGCTTTAATGGCACGCTTAGTCTGACCGATATTTTTTATCACATTCCTCACCGCTATTTCATATATTCTCGACATTTTATTCTTCAACATCTTGTCTTCAGGTTACCTAACATTTGTTGAAGTCGGCAAAACGTTTTGAATGCTACTTTCATGTTCAAATCTACAGGTCAATGTGGTTCGCATTTGATAACTGTTTACTAGAACATACAAATGATACTTTTGTAGAAGTAGGTTCTACACTATGTTTGAAAAATATCTAAATCTAATGAATATGTGCAAAAATAAAAGAAGTTAGAAAAAACAAAAGCAATAAATATGATGAAGAAAACAATAAAAATTGAGAAGCTCAAAAGCTCAAGATACAGGAAATAAAATGAAATAATGAAACATAACAATAAAATGAATACTGACGCAGGTCTACGCTATTATGAGGAATCACACGTTAAAAGGTAAGTTTCTCAACTTCTGAGAGTTGTCGTTCGTATGGGGGCGACAGCTGATTAACGAAAAAACAGATTTTGAACAAATTTTTTTATTATTGTAAAATAATTCTTACGACAAAAATATAATCTATGAGCTATTTGCCAAAATGAAAGTCGTTATATTCTCATTTCAAATAATATTTTCCACCCTCCATATGACTCCACATGTTTGAATAACTCCTAGTTGTGTCATGCCACTCAAAAATGAATATCTGTAAATCAAATCGTATCTCCCACGAAATATTGGGCATTTGCATGGGTTTCTTAGCAAAAAGACCAATTAATCTACAAATAATGACTTTGGAAATTCAGGTACCTACAGGTCATAATCAAGCTCAAGTACTGTTCTGATCCATATGTCTAAAATTATTAAAACCTACGAACACAAAAAGCCATTTCGCGATCTTCAGATGTGCGTAATTCAAAATTTAGGAACTTGTGAAACTGATTGCAAATGATGTACCGATGGTTAGACTTTGGACTTTCTTCAGTTCATGAAATTCTTTCATTCTTTGGAAGGTTGCTGATAGCTGATTGTGCCGGTTAGGCCCCCCAGACGCACCCTGGCGTTGGATGCGATCGGGTGTGGAGGGGTGTATTTTTGGGTAATCCTTGCGGGTACCGCCCCTCACCCCACACCAACAGGATTTCGCAGGGCTTCCTCCCGCTCACCGAACCCGGAATTGCTTCCTTACATCTACTTAGTGTGGCTAACCAAGAGACAGGACCGTCGGCAGCGTTCGACCGAACGTTCGTACAAGTTAACTAAGCTCTTCTTTCGCCAGAGAGTGCTCGCGCCGCACACCTGCCCCCGCCAACCAATTGGGAATATGGTCCCGGAAGTGGCCGGTCGGGGTCCTAAGCTCGGATACTAGTAGCTCCGTCCAACCGGGGTCCGACACCTCAAGCGTCTGCCTTGGTGCCCTCCAAGACTAGACTCGGATACTAGAGCCCGGGAGGACCGCGACACCTCGAACGCTCGGATCCGTACAGAGGCAGGTGAGGATCACGGAACAGCATAAGTCGTCCAGTGCCTCGGTATGGGGCTGCAATGCACCCATGAACGGATTACCGCATCCCCGTATCCCTTTACCCGCTAGTGGAGCCGCTGCCCCTAAGAGGCCAACGACAGTTAGAGATGAGGTTCGCTAGCCTCCAGCCGCGAGCGGGCACTCACCTCCCCCCTAGAACTCATGTTAGGAAAGTTCCCTTTCCAACGTTTGATGAGTAACCGTCGAGGACTCTTTCGAGCATCCTCTACCACACATCATATGTCGAAGATGTCGCGCCCATTACCCGTGTAGGTGCGGGATAGGGCGGTTCATCAACAACTTTTGGGTGTACGCCGTGTGGCCTGCACCGCATACCCTTACGTTACCCCGAGGGGCACTCATGTTAGGAAAGTTACCTTTCCAGCGTTGGATGAGTAGGGCTCTTGCGAGACACCTCTCCCACACATCTAGCTTGAAACCGGCCAACGCCTGTTACCCGCAGATGCGGGATTGGGTGGTTGACCGATAACTTTACTGGGTGAGTGCCGTGTGGTCTGCACCGGGGGACTGTCAAACACCCATAAGAAAGAGACAGTGATCCCCCGCCACTCACCCCGATTCAACAGTCAAGAAAAACACTCAAACACTCACCTGTTCTCTTGATATCATTCTCGGAATTGTCTCTAAGTCTACTAGAACTGTCTTGAATATTGTCCGGAGATCGTCCAGTAGACACGTTGTACAAATCACTAAACGCACTACCGTTTCCGAAAAACCCGCTTCTATCCTGAAAGAAGAATACAGCCTGCATTAACAACTCTTCCAAATAATGATTATGATGAACAAGTAACTAGTTGGTAATTCATGGGGTCATTTTATTATCATTTTCGAGAACTGAAGGTTTCAACACCATGTATGACACTTCAGGCCAGTTTCTATGGCGAAAAAGGGTGCCTGAAGACTGACGATGTTCCTTTGAATTTTTTTTGTTTGGCTCACCTGAAGTGCTGCCTTGGCTTTTTCCACACTTTGCTTAAGCTGCTCGAATGTACTGGGATTGCAGAATCGATAAGTTGGCCAGTCGGCTGCCGTACCAAAATCTTCAGTTTTGATTCCCAGAGGACACGTAGTAGAGGCACTTCTTTTCAGTTCTAACGCTCCTTGATAGGAGCACGAACTCTCGTACATTTTACGACGTAGAGGACACTTTTTCCTGAAAACGTGAAGCAATTAAATATCAGAAAGTCATTCCAGCAGAATTTATATAGAGCAGATGGAAAATTGTAGGAAACATCTAAGAAAGAGTACTGAAATACGTTACTCATCAAGAATTGAAAAAAAAGCTTCCTGGACTTGCCACGTTATCACCAATCAACTGAGTTTTTTCCAATTTTGGAGAAGGTAATACCTGGAGGCCTTGACATCTATAATCATAGGCTATATCTGAAAACACTTCATGATTCAGATATTCGCGGCCCTAGTGAGAATTGCATGAAATCTTATTCAATCAGCCATCTGTAAAATTTGTGTATCATAAAATTACTTTCTTAGTTGTCTCAGTTTATAGATCCCCAAACAGCAGTGGTGTATTATTTTTAGACTTTTTCGAAAAATGGTGTGATGATAATTTAACAGACAAGAATATGAAGATTATTATTGTTGGAGATTTCAATATTAATTGGTATGGTACGAATACGTACACTCAGAGATTGATGGCTGTGGTAGAGGATATTGGTTTTGAAAATAAAGTTAAAGAGCATACGAACATAACAAGTAGTGGGGGTACTTTAATTGACTTAGTGTTGTCAAATTGTGACACCAATGTACAAGTACTGGATTTACCTAGAATTGGTAACCACAGAAATATAATAGTAAATCTCGATGAAGTTGTTTCAAAAAATTTTATTTCAGGATGAAATTAAAGCATTTTCAATGCTCTTCGTAAGGAGATTAATGTGCTCTACAGCAAATGTTCCCAGAATTTCAATTTGAGCTGCTTCATTAAGTACTCTGGGGTTATTTATTTTTTTATTTGTCACTGAACCAGTTTCGTGAAACTTATTCACTAAATCAAGCATATACCAGTGACTTACATCACAATTTGGATGTCTTTCGTTAAAAAGACACTTTCGTGCGCATTTTCCAACTTCTCCATAAATTATAATAATTTCAATTCTCAGTGTTACTATGTTCATTTGGGTTTGTGTAGAACTGCATCCTAACACGATTGGCTGGCTTCTTCGGAGGTTTATTCATCTCAATGATTCACCGATGACTGGTGATTTCGAGTTCATAGGTTGTATTTATGTTCCGCTATTGCCGATTTGTGTATTTGACCTAATCTACAGTTTCTCCAATGTTCATTCAGCCTTGTACCCATTGTTCTTTTGTATAAACTTTCCCGCAGATGCATGGTATACGATATACCCCCGCAGCTGATAGTGGATATTTTTTGTCTTTCGCAGATCAAAGGCTTTGTTGTATTTTCCTGGTGGGTTTGAACACTGTTTTTATTTCATGCTTTCCTAAGATTTTTCCGATTATGTCTGTAACCCTAGGGATGAACGGTGGAAATGCACGTGCAACCGTTTGAGTTTCCTCCCTATTTTGACTTGTGGAAGTCTTCAATTCCATGGTCTTGTTGGACTCGGTTACAATGTATCCAATCGATCTCAAAGCCACTTGAAGATGCTCCAATTCTTCTTGTAGGTATTCCTGGTCACATATTCTATGGGCACGTTTCGTTTGGGTGTTGATAATTTCCCGCTTTTGACTTGGATGGTGGTTCGAAAGTGCATGCAGATATCTGTTCGTATGTGGCGGTTTTTGGTACACTTTATGTGTCAGTCGTGTGCCATGCCTTTCGACGAGTACATCTAGAAAAGCCATCCGTTGTTTCTGTTCAGTCTCCATGGTGAACATGATGCTAGGGTATTGAGCATTTATGTGGTCCAGAAATATGTTCAGTCTAGTTTGAAATCGAAAGCGTCTAATGCCTTCTCCTCAATTTAAGAAAATGGGAAGAACAGACTGAACCTATTTCTATACCACGAGGTGAAAAACTCAAAAGTACAAAGTTCATTATCAAAACAAAATTCTGCAGAAGGACGCCATATCTAAGTTTTTCAAGAAAAAAAAGCGTCGTTGGATCTCTAGGCAGCACTACTGACCAGTAAATTGTACAGGTATCTGTACTTGATTTCTCTCTGCCAGTCATATTGGAGGGATTTTGCAGCTTCAAGACAATTTAGTCTCACTAGTTATTGATTTCAGAGCTTCTGGTTTGTACATTGTGGCTGTGTTTAGTAGCTGTCTAAGATCATTTTGAACTTAGCCTCAAAATCGTATCTTAGTAGCATGACTTTTGTAGGTTTCGATATAGATTCTACTGAGATTAGTTCCAGAATGTTCATCATTACTACCAGTAACTCATCAGGAATATTTTAATTTCAGCAATTTCAAATAAATGTTGAAGACAACAGTCATCACTTGAGTTACTGGAGTTTGAAAAATTATAATTGGACATAAGCTATTCGATAAGTGTCGATTCACAAGTGTATAAGTCCTCTGGTGAATTTGAATCCAGAAAAGGACACTCGAGTATACATAGCAAGATAGAAATTTTTTGCACTGCACAAAAAAAATCATCTAGAGAAGAAATTGCGAATTATATTGAGAGATATCACAGTGATTCCGGACAACAATATTCGAAAACGCAACACGTGTTTTACCATGCAATGACGAACGTGTCTTTACTCTATATTCTATAGTCTATATTCAAAATTCAGGTATGAAAATTGAATCTTGAATACAATTCATAATTTTTCAATTATTGTATAGTTTGCTATAGCAACTGCAATATAATAAACTAGCTTCTAGTTATTCAGAAGAAGATCCTTGAAATTTTTTGTCTCATAAATGTTGGTGATTCATGTAGAGAGTGTTCAAAAACTTTAGGTGTTTGACGGTCATATCTCTATAAATCTTCAGTTCTGTTATGTATATTTAAAAAAACAGTGACAGTTGGAGGCTAGGGAAGTTTTCAAGCACTACAGGAAAATTCTTGAGGCGCTCTTAGAGCGGTGCCTGTGGAAATTAAAGATTCACATTGGATTTGAATCGATGGAGATTACATCCATTTGGAAAAACATTCTCAGGAAGTTTATTCAACATAAACGCCGTTCTTCAAATGGTAGAGGTGTACTGAGTTGAACCTCAAAAAGATGAGCAGCCACAGTTGTCGCGTATTTTTGATATGTATCGCTCCTGGTGGAATTGAATGTACCAAGTCACTTGAACACTTCCCGTGAAAGTATCTTATAGAAGAGAGACAAATTTCCAACCTTTTTCCGGTGCTCCAGATTATCAAAGTTGCAAGTGATGTTCGCGTCTCCAATTAGGCGAATAGTTTTTTTTTGGATGGAATCCAGCAGCTTCAGGGTATGCTTAGGGGCGGAGCTCCATACATGAGAACAATACTCCAAAGAAGGTATAATCTGAGCTTTATATAGCATCAACAGTTGCTGAGGTGTGTACAGTTTTTTGGTTCGGAACAGTGTTCCAAGCTTTTGATAAGCAGCCTTTGCAATTCCAGCGACATGATTGTGCCAAGACATACTGGTGTCCATTTTAACCCCCCAACAAATTTATCGAAGCAGAAAGCGAAATTGTCTGTCCTAACATTATTATATTCGGTTCAGAAACATTTATTTTTCAGAGAAAACCGATGCCTGGGTTTTTGTGGCATTGAATTGAACCTGGTTACTTTCATCCCAATTCGAAATTACTTCTAGATCCCCATCAAAATATTCAACCTCCTGCTGCCGGTGAAGATGTGCATCCACAGCCGATGTCCTGGAATCCTAATGTAATGACGAGACAAGTGTGCTGTCGTCAGCTAAGCAATAAATTGAATTCTTGGTTTAATCCAATAAGTCATTGATATACAATAAAAAGAGGGTTGGAGACAATATGGATCCCTGGAGAACACCAGCGTTGATGTTGAAAGTATATTCATCGACGGCCACTTGCAGGGAACGTTCTTTTAGGAAACTGAAGAGTAATAAACCAATATCATCCGACAAGCCGTAGCATCGAAGTTTGGCCAGCAAACCCTCATGCCACACACGATCAAAGGCCTTAGAAATATCAAGCGCAACAACTCTTTACTCTCTATGTTTCTCGATTGAGTTATTGAAAATATGGACGACATACTATAGAAGGTCACTTGTTGCTCTTTGTTTCCGTTACTTGTTACTTGAATTACTTTGGACTACACAAAATCACTATTACATGATACCTCTCAGAAGCTGATAGTTGTATCCAATGGTACTCCAAAATATATCTATCATTTCATGACAAAATCCCAACTACCATTGGGAAGATAACTAGATTATAACTCTTTCAACAATAACGTAAAACAATCGATGAATTTATTTGTTTTTGTTTGATTGATCAGTTATTATGGAAGATATGACGGAACTTTTAAAGAAAATATCAACCTATGTCGATGATAACTCTTTAGCAAACTGACGGATCATGCACATTTTTTCTTTTGGTCAAAAACCATAACAAATATGCCTTATCAAGCAAGTACTTCCCCCTATCTAAACTAAATCACAAAGAAATCACTCTTTCTCCCTCAGTTTGTATACCAAAATAATATAAATGAAACTGAAATAATGTCTTTGATTCATGAGAAACGCGCAACAGAATGTAATGAATGAAAATCTGATGTCTGCTTGCAGGATAAATAAAAGATACCTATATACACGCCAAGAAGATGAATTGTATTCGTCATTATCAAAATCTCCCAGCGAAAACCTGAAGGGAAACCATCAGTTTCCTGGCTAATAGCACGTCTGATATTGGATTTCATCCCACAGGAATTTTTACCTGAATATTTTTATAGAATGCTTCTCGATCGATCGAGTGAGGATTTTTTGAAGAGAAGTAACTGCAAGAACTTTTTTCTCCCTTAGGAAATTCACATAAATGTCTGTAAGGTATAATCCAATATCTATCGTGATATCAAAAAGAGTACTATTGATATTAAAACCCACTCCTATGATGTAGAGGATTCCAGATTCTTAATAATGGGTTTAAGGTAAGGGGGCACCACCTATTCATTTTTGTTATGGAGACATTTCAAGGACACTTCCGGTATAAACATTCTTGTGTTCATTTGAATATAACACAATTCAATTTAGTGAGCGATAATCCGTGTTGTTTCTGCTTTGTTATCATTACAGGAAATTTTTTTGAATATCAACTCACCTCATTATCCCAACCCCCACAACTGCAAGTTGTACAATTAAAACACTAGCATTCGGCACTCATACGACGCCACTGTAAATCTCGGAACGCGCGGAAACTAGTTTTTTCTCAAATTTTCACGATCGGCGCTCTCTCAATGCTCTATCGGCAGCCTTATCAGTAAATTCAAGTCAAGCAAGCCACGCGAGTTTGTCGCGGCCAACACGATTGTTCGTTTCCGTTTCAATTAGTGTACAGGAAGAGCTCCCTCATCTCATTATGCACTGTTTTACAAATTTTATTTATAGACGGCCATTTTCATATTCCCACATCGGAATTAGGCATTAGGTGTAATTAGGCATTTTTGTTTTTATTCTATCAGGAAATTTGACATTGTGTAAATTGCCAATAATTTTATCCTTTGAATTTTGTGTGATCCTGATCGATGGGATTGAAAAAATGAGAGGTGCTCTTTCAAGTGAACTCAAAGATATTTGAGATATGTCTCAAAACATTTCTTGAATTAATTGACCAATAACGCAAGAACTTCATGTCACACTTTATAATAATACAAAATATTGTACAATACTGCAGTATTTTCCACTTTTATTTTTTTTTTTTCTATATTCTGGTTTATCATATCATGCCTAAGTGTTCCACTCAAAATATATGTTTCGAAGTGGTTGACAATGTTTCTTGATGAATATTAAATGTTGAGTATAGTATAAGTTTCTTGGATTATTTTTTTCGATGGAGAATGAAATTGCATTTCATTATTTCGGACTTCCATTGTCTAATATGATATAAAATTGTTTGAAACCAACTCCGGAAAAAAATCAATAAAATTGAAAAGATTAGCTGAAAACTAACAACTATATTAGGCAAAATTACTGAAATTGAAATGAAATAAAATACAAACAACAATTGAAAATTGAATAATTAACAAAAAATTTAGATTTAAAAAATTAAAAGATTTCAAGCCAACTTACTTCACGACGTTTCAATAGTTATAGTATCCACAATCGTCTTCGGGTGATGAATGAACTCATTCCTCCGAGAGATGACTATTTATAGGTCAGTCGAGTGCTTTTACCTATACCCTCTTCCCGATCTACATTTCACCGGTTATGCGGGAGCTGACCGTTTGGCGGGAGTTTGTCATTTTCCGCTTGATTATATGTTTCCATATGTTGCGTATCTTCATGCTAGCTTGGCTAAATGCGTTGTTGGACAGCATTTATGCGGCTCCTTTGAATTTTCTCCTAAATCAGTGTTCCTCCTTGTGAATAATTTCAGGTTGGGACCAGTAGATGTTATGTTGAAGAGTCCAAATCCAAACATGCTCTGTTATTACCAGTTTGCTGGTTTCTCCTCGCTGTGTGTGATTCTTGTATTCGACAATGCGAACTTTCAATGGCCTCTCAGTTTCACCGATGTGGGAGTCTCCGCACTCGCAGGGTATCCGGTAAGTGCCATTCTTGGAATCGCAGTCTGCGTTTGGTGACCTGGTTTTTGTGAAGCTACTACAGATAGTGTTTCTGGATCTGAAGCATGTTCTGATGTTATACATGGACCCAATTCTTCTTATCCTTTCTGGCAACCCTCTGATGTAGGGAAGTACAAGCACTAGTTGCGACGGCTTCTCTTCCTTTTGAGGCTCTTGCTGTCTTCTAGCTAAAGTCCACCATCACTTTGGAGTAATCATTCCGTTGAAGATCATTTTTGATGATGTTCCTTCTCGAGACCTTCCTTCGCATTATAGAGCCCGAAAGCACGATTCCTGTCGGTCCTCTTCACCAATACGTCTGAGAATGGCAATTCGTTGTGGACTTCCTTCTCCATTGTGAATGTGATGGAAGGTCTTACGTTGTTGAGGAAGGTGTCTAGTTCTGTATTTCCATGGTTCCATATCATAAAGATGACGTCAACCTATTTCAGACTCGTGGCTTCTTGTGGGCTTCTTCATTGGCCAGAGTTTCAAACCATTCTATATATATGTTGACTGTAACCGGTGGAAGTGGAGTTCCAACTGGCAGTCCCTCATCTTGCGTCCTTCATTGCGAAATAGCAGTTTCGTACACAGCATCCTGGTAATTCCATGATCACCTATATCGGTATTTACCGGATACCCTGCGACTGCGGAGAATCCTACATCCTACAATCGGGAGTAGCAGAGCATGTTTGGATTTGGACTCATCAACATAACATCAAGTGGTCTCAAGCCAATATCATCCACAAGGCGGAACACTGGCTTAGGAGACAATTTCAAAAAGCCGCATACATGCTGTCCAACAATGCATTTAGCCAAGCTAGCATAGGGATGCGCAACATATGGAAATCCATAATAAAGCGGAAAACGGCAAACTCCCGCCAAACGGTTAGCTCACGCTAAACCGATGAAGCGTAGAGAGGAAAGAGGGAATAGGTGAAAGCACTCGGATGACCTATGAATAGTCATCTCCCGGAGGAATGAGTCCAGTCATCACTCGAAGACGATTGTGGATACTAAAAATCGAAACGTCGTGAAGTAACTTGGCTTGAAATCTTTTAATTTTGAATTTTCATTTCTCAAATGTTAGTTGAATTTTATTTCATAGTAATTTCAGTTTTTTTGCTTAATATACTTGTAATTTTTCAGGTAATCTTTTCAATTTTATTGATTTTTTCGAGGTTTCAAACTATTTTATATCATATTAGACAATGAAAGTCCATACTAATGAAACGCACCATGAAACATTGTCAACCACCTTCAAACAAATGAGAATGAAATTATTTGCTTACTTCCTTCCTTTGGAAGTTTCCCACTTTTTTTGTAGAAAGATGGTGGTTTAGAATGCCAAAACCTTTTTTTCTTAAAAATTATTCTCTCCATGAGTTATACCCCTTTCAATTTAAACAAGATTCCTATGGCTGGGATTGAATCAAATAAGTAATAAGCGATTGAATGTCATTTCGTACTGTTATCGATGACATGAGTAGGTTTGACTTATTGGTGACATAAACTAGTAATTTTATGAATGAATTGAGTGCTACATCTTGTATTGTTATCCAGATAGGTGCTAAAGAGGCAATAAGGCAGATTTGTTCTTCCTGAACATCGGATGTCCGTCAGTGAAATTTAACCTCTCTCATGTTGCAATGCTTTCAATGATATCTGATTCAATTCCATGTAGAATATTTGGAGAATAAACTGAATTCTTTGTATAACTCGAAGTTCATATAAAAATTGTTGTTTCGAAAGTATTTTTTCTTTCGTGAAATACAAAGTTTGTGTGAAAGTAGTTGTTTCGAGAGAATGTTTTCTTCCAGTTTGTGCCTGAACGTTACTCCTTTACATAAATCAATTTATATTATATTACACAACGGAAGTCCGAACTGATGAAATACACCACGCAACATTGTCAACTACCTTCAAACAAAAGACAAGTGCCTTATTCCGAAACATCGAGGTCCGCTATTGAGGATGAGAATGTTCCATGTTAGTGAAATTTTATAACTCTCTCATATACTATATTGTGTATCGTTTCTATAGATGATGTCTAATTCAATTCCATAATGAATACAATACAATGTTAATATAGAAGTAGTTGTTTCGAAAGTCTATTTCTTCGTGTAATTCAATGTTTCTCACAATCAATTTTTCATTCATGGACTCGAAATGGTTTTCCGAGTTCATCAACTCTTGGAATATTCAACATTATAAATAAATGAAAATTGTGTCTGGTTTGAAATTGATAAAACTTCCATTCTCATTGCAGTATCTTTGAAAAATAAACTAAATATGCATTATTCATCTTTCTTCAGCATAACCTAAAGAATAAAAGAAACATATATCCATGAAATGGCGATAAAAAGCTTGCACTCGTAGGATGCAAGCTTATCAGTTTGGATTGTATCCACGGAGTATATTTCAACATTTTATCAGTTCCGCTTTGTAACAAAACTCTCGTTGTCGTTAACCATTTCTAATAGCTACGTCGACATTGGCGATGGGATTGAATTGAATCAGGGATTTTTTTCACAGGAGATGTGTGTCGTAGTTTTATAAAATTATATAAAATACTAGCTGACCCGGCAAACGTTGTTTTGCCACATAACTCATTTCTATCAGAACAATAACACTCACAAATAATATTAATACCTCAGTGCTATAGTTTACAATATTTTTCATTAGTTCATGCTTAGCTAACACACACAAACTGGATTGTTTGCCTTGGGACTCATTAATAGTCATTGGAAATGTCAATTCAATTAAAAATTACACACGTTTAAAATGAATTGGCACATCCGTAGGTATAATAGAGGTTCGTGAAATTAATATATTTTCACTTAGGAACAAAATGCTGGCGACGATATTTTTCATTAATTTTTTAATGAGTAATCGCGTGCGGTTGCACAGCCGTGGTGGATCGAAATTACGGAACGATCCAACCTTCATTTGTGAATCATGCGGTTCCATGCAAATCCAATGGGTTCAAAAACTCTGTTGGATAATTCACAGCTTCGGTGGCATCGCAAAATGTATCTACTTTCGATGGATGAACAATAAAACTGGTCGAAAGCTATGTAGGGAGTTAGAGAACACTTATTGTGTGACAGAAACAGGGGACCGGCTTCGTTCTCATCCCTACTCCGTGCTGTTCACTGAGTGAGAAATGACACAGATATATGCCTGGCGTAACTGATCTATGAGATCTATGGTCTAAAATGACTATTATTAAATAGGAGTTGGTGAGAGAAGGATAAATATTGGGGGTTGTATGTATTTTCTAATGCCACATCATAAACAAATTAAAACAAAAAAATATGTTCAGATGTTTTTCAATGTTTGGAGTGGAGCACCCTTATCACTTAGGGGTATGAAAAAGAGATCAAGAACTATTCTCAGACCTACCAAATATACACATGAAATTTCATGGAAATTGGTCGATATACAGGGTGTCAATTTGAAAATTTCTCATCCATAATACCTTCTTTCCAGTAAACTATGTGAGGAATTGAAAACGGTTAGAAGAGTAGATGGCACCATTCCAACACTTGAATGACAGGAATGAATGTATTACGCGTGGGATTTTTCATTTGTTGGCTTTTGCCTTTCACAAAATAAAATTTTAATTTGCGAGAAAGGCATTTCAAACCCAAAATCTACTTACGCTGATCTTATAAACTGT